AATTTGACGACTCTACCCGTTTCGACGTTACAATGTCATCCTCAGGAGCGAAAACATTGAAACATGTAGAGTCGTCAACTTTTTTGAAGACCATAGATAGGCCTAAATGAAACATTTTTAATTGTGTACCAGTTTAACGTTGAATATTATTTATGATTTCCAAAACATACTTACCTCCACTGACACTACAGCTAGAATCCCACATTGAGAAGGTGGAGGGGCCTGTGCAGGCATGAACCATACATAAGCATCTGTATAGAACAGAAGAGTACTAATATAAAGATGGTACAAGAGTGGGGGAACCATATATCAAAGGTGGAACAGAATACAAGTAATCATCAGTATGGGCCAGTCCCAATAAGACAGTCGAGGTTCCACAACTTGGGGTTGGAATTAAGGGGTCATGGTACCTATATCCCACATTGGTGGCTAGGGCTATTGGACTGCAATATTATATATATACTTTTAATTTGATCCCAACCTGTAGCCATAGAGTGATGCATTTCACAACACCAGAATCACGATAAGAAAGTAAGCAACATGGAAGTGGACAAACCTTCTCCTCCACCTGAAGATGTCCAAGAGGCAATGTCCTATGCTCAAAATGAAGAGATCGTGTATGCCTTACTCAACCAAAGGAACAGGACTCATCTGGTCTGGAATTATGAACATTCATCCTCACTCTCCAACCAAGTGGACAAGGAGTACTCAGCTTGCCCATAGAATTATGGAGAGGACATGGAACCTGTGCTCAACCAAGGACTTAGGATGGGACCACATCGCATTCAGAATTATGATATAGTGGACTTCCATCCATGAACAATATACTGATCAAAGAGAAGAGCCATGCACCCCCACCCCACAACCAGATAGTTTCATGTCACACCCGAACCAGAATTATGAGTAGGCTCCCGTGGACATCTGGGGAAAACATCCAGGGACCCGAGTAGGAGGGCCCCAAACTTCTTTGCCCTCTTTTCCAAGAGTGGAGGAACACACTCAAACATTCTGGAGGAAAATCTTCTGTCTTCCACCCCAGCAACTGGAAACTGGGGTAGTAAGGACTCCCAAGCTCTACCAGTAGAGTCT